ACCACAGCTCTTCTAATTCCTGTGGTGTCATCGAGTATAGCTTCGGTTTTGGGAGTTTCACCCCAGGTAAAATTTCGATACTACAATCTGTTGAACGATGAGGGGGAAGCTCATCCGAGGCCTTCTCACTGAATACTTCTTTTAAGTCCCAATATTCCTCCGGAATTTTCTCCTCTCCTTTCAGCTCCTCAGTACCCGTGGAGGCTAACTCAATAGGATTCTGAAGTTTCGGCTGAGATCACCCCTCCCCTTCCGGCCGCTGGTCGGTACGTATGTGCAATGACCCTTTCCTCCAGTTGATGTGGGGGTTCCATTTCCGGAGCCAGGGTAATCCCAGTATTAGCAGCTGTTCCATCCCAGGGGCCACAATAAAACACAGAGTCTCTCTATGCCTCCCCATGGTCATTTCTATGGGTTCCATTATGAAGCGTGCAGGGCTGCTACCCCCCGCCACTAATCCATCCAATTGGCAAAAGGGTATGGGTGTTTTTAAAGTTTTTAGTCTTAAGCCCATCTTCTCTACTACTCTTGTGTTGATTACACACCTCGTGCACCCAGAGTCTAGCAAGGCTAGCATTTTCCCTTCGGCCCCCGATGTGGGTACCCTTAATTTCACTGGAATGGTCATAGGGCCCTTGTTTGGACTTACCAGGGAGTCGTCTTCCGAATCGGATTCACTCTCTTCAGAGGAGGTTGGAGGTCCCAGCTCCTCTCCTTTCGGAGGGGCGACCTCTACAACCTCCCTCGTCTTTAGCGCCGTCTCGCGAGGTTTCACTGGGGTTTTATCAGGCTTTTTCCCTCCTCTTGGCACCCCCTTTGGTTCCAACTTGGCCCGGCAGTCTGCAGCCTGGTGACCTTCCTTCCCACATCGGAAGCAGGGAGTGGTTTTGAGTCTTGCCGCCATCCCTCCCTTTTGGGGTTTGATGGCTTCTTGAGGATGTGGGTGGGAGGGCTTGCTCCAACCAGAGCCCCCCCCCCCCGGCATCTGTTTCGGGTTAGATCAATTTCCACCTCTGCTGCCAGCAAGTACCACATCCGCAAATCATTTGGGTCTCTTCTGGCAATGCAGCTCTGGTATACATCTTCATTTAACGCTTCTATCAGGGCTACCTGGGACCAGCCTCGAATATGACACGCCAGCTCTCTAAATTCCTGGGTGTAGTCGGCCACTGATCTCCGCCCCTGATTTATGGTCTTCATCCTAATCCTGGCCTTACGCTCGGCCAGTGGGTCCTCAAACCTTGCCCGCAGCGCAGTCATGAACAGGTCATAATTCAACAGCTGGGGGGTATTATCATTATGCAAAGTCACCATCCACTTTGCAGCTGGTCCCTCCAGAGCCCTGGTAACACATCTAACTTTGGCTGCTTCTGAGGGAAAATCCCCTCCATATTCTTCCATATAGCTCCAAACTTGTGCTGGGAAAAATCCCAACTCTTTGGGGTCCCCCCCATATTTCACTTCCAACAGAGGCAACTTGGGAGCTCTACGTCTTCTAGGAATTACACCTCCCGCTGGGGGCCCCGGGGCTGCTGCTGGCTGTTGCGCTGGCCCGGATTGATTTATGGGGGTGGCTGCTCTGCTTCTTCTGGCTGGGGCTGCCTCCCCCTCCTCTCCCTCATACCTTTGTGCAGCGTGAGGTTCTCCAAGGGCCTCATTGATGAAGTGCCTGGCTTGGTTCAGTAAAAAGTTTTCCTTTCCCTCTCTTGCCATGGCTCCTCTCTTCCACGCCGGCGGGTAGTGGTGACTCCTGGGGGAAGGGGCTCCTCTGGATCCTTCCAGCCAACTCCCAATGACCATTTGGGTTTCACAGCTGGTTTTTCCCAAGATTGAGCTCTGCTAGCAATTCAGCTTCCCGTGCCTCCTCTAGCAGCAAAGAATCTTGCCCTCCAATGGCGCCCAGGCCTTCTTGGTCACTAGCTGGAGTTGACATGATGTTCAGACCCCTTCGGAAGAAATTGTATTATCTCTCCGGGTGGGCTGGTAAGGTGAGATTCAGAATAATGTCAGCTGGTGCTCCATTCAAAATCCAAGAAAGAAATACTTAGACTCTTTTAATTAGAGAAAAGATATCTTTTACTGGAAATGAAGTGGTAGCAACAAGAGAATTCTGAATCTAAGGAAATAGGCGCGTAAATCACATATACAAAGTGATGGAAATGTTCCCACCCCCAATAGTTCAAATGGTTCTTCCAATTAAAAGTTGTGAATAACATCATGTGGACATCTTCAAGTGGTGATGGAGTTTCTGTCCGTTGACCTTGGCATACTTTGATAAAGGTTTGCAGCTGCGCAGAGAAAAGAAAGCTAAGCAAGGAATAGAAACTTAAGCAAGAATGCACTCTCCCCCCTCCTCAGTTTATACAATGCTAATTTATACCACCTCTAGCTCGCTTCCCATATTTGTCCCCCCTCCTCCCCCCCGTTACTTATGGCAGCCGAAAGATGCAAAGCAAAGGTAGAAGATCTTGAAGGCTGACACATGATCTGTTGTTGGGGTGGCATGATTTTTTATGGTATAAAGGAACTAAAACACAGGGTACTTTAGAAGACATTATATACGGGAGTCTCTGTGGTTAAACTGGGAGAAGATTAAAAGACAATGTTATTTGAAAATTCCAGTCTGGCTATCGACTATTGAAGCATTTTCTTATCCTATAATATACAAAAAGGAACAAACAGTTAGATATGGTGAAATATTGAATGAAAAGGGTGAACTTAAATCTATACAAAAACTAGAGGAACAAGGTATAGAGTTGAATTGGTTTTCATATGAGCAAATATATTCAAGGTATGATAAATATTCTAAAACAGAAGGTTTCTATGATAAACTAACTGACTTAGATAAGATTTTGACAGGTACTGATGAAAAGGTGATTAAAAAATTGTATGGATATCTATTAGAAATTAAACTAGAAGAAGAACAAGTTAAAGAAACAATGATTGCTTGGGGGAAGAATTTTGGATATGGGATTTAGAGAAATGGCAAAAATTGTGGTCTCAAAATTATAAAATGACAATGTCAACAGCATATAAAGAAAATTTGTATAAGATGTTTTACAGGTGGCATTTCCCCCCAACAAGAATAGCAAGAATGTTCAAGAATAAATCCGAAAAATGTTGGAAATGTCATCAGACACCTGGCTCATATTACCATATGTGGAGGACTTGTGCGGATGTTAAAAAATACTGGACTAAAATCCACACATGGTTGGAAAAAATGACAAAAAAACATATAGATTTGAAACCAGAGATATTTTTATTGGGAATTTTACCTGAAATATATAGTAAAGACTTGAAATACCTGATTGTAAATGTATTAACAGCGGCTAGGATTGTATTTGCTAAAAACTGGAAAAATGAGAAAATACCATTATAGGAGGGAATTATTAAGAAAATATTGGAATGTGCTGAAATGAGTAGATTGACATTTGAAATTAGAGAACAAGATGACAAACAATTTTATAAAATTTGGGATCTATTCTATCAATGGTTAGACAATAAAATATAGTAATGAAATATGTAGACTTTTAGAAAATAATAAATATATAAAGACGTATTCTTTTCTTATTATATCTACAAAATGATTCTAGGATAGATGATAATATGAATTGACATAAAACAAATTAAGTAAAATATGATCATTTTGTAAAACATGAATGAATAAAAGTATAGTCAAATGATTGATTAATATTGATATTAATGTATTTAATAATTATAACTGAAGACGATGAAATGGAAGCACAAAACAATTTGTAAACCAACCGGCACACTGTATGTACATATATGGAAGACGACTTGATGTTTTTATGTTTTGTTTGTTTATGTTTGTTTTAAAAACCAATAAAAAATTTAAAAAAGAAAAAAGAAATAAGCATTGCTATCTGTAGCAACAACTTGCGTGGATTTGCACATTATAGAAGGCTAAATAAACTGATTGCCTTCAGTTTATTATGTTAAGCAAACATAGCTAGTGGGATAGAAAGCGCACCAGCCAAAAACTTAATCTCACTCTTTTTGTCCCTGTTTAAAAACATTTGAAGGATTGTTTCCTCAGAATTTAAAAATGTTACCTAAATGACCTAACCAAAGTTATTCATCAACTATAAAAGGATGAATTAGTCCCAGGTCATATGTACAGCCAATCTCGTTTCTTGTAGCTATCTTCAGAAATACTATTTATATTGTCATTCTACAATCTATCAAAACCAAATAGCAAAAGCTGTCTAAAAAAACCTAAACTTGATGTTTAATTTTAACTGCAAAATAGCTTCCAGCTAGTCCAAATGTTTAAAGGAAACTTCTACTATTATTTTTTGCATGATGAATATTTGTTTTTATAAATCTGATATTTTTATTTGCTGCTTCTAGGCAATTAAATGCATCATCATGCTACTCATTTGATATTGTTCCAGATTAAAGAAAGCCTTTTCCATATTTTAAGAATTATTTGTACACAGCACTGGCAGTTCATTGAAAATTCCATTTATTTTTAATGAAGCAACTCTCCATTTAAAAAATGTTTTGTTTGAAAATGGGTTAATAAAAACTGTAAGAAAAGAAAACATTTTAAAAATGTTTTCATTATCACATAAAGCATATATTTAGGAGAAAAAAGCATTGTTCATTGAAAAATAAGCATTAAATTTCCAAGCAAATAAGAGCACATTCATTTTTTAAAAAATACCCAGAATGGTATTACTGTACTTTATTTATCTATGGCTTCTTTTCTCTCACTCCTCAAACAGAGGCCTGTAAATAGCATCTTCTCCATCAGGCCAAAGGTCTATGCATCATGTTACCTAACAGCCACGTATTACCCTACCAAATAAAGTTTCACTAAAGAGAAAATAAAATTCCACCAGGCAGATCTGGATGAAGAAAGGCAGAAGGTATAAGTATTTACATCCCATTTTTAATACTATGATGCAGATTACAGGGCACTTAATAGGAGACCTGCCTACTAGTATGTATATTTAGGTTTGCAGAATTAAGGTGGAGCTTATTTATTCAAACTTGAACATCATTAAATTGAAAATAAAATTTCAATCCAAGCCAGAGAACAAGCTTCCTTTGACTAAGACCACTTCAAAATAAATATTCATAGAAAAGGCTGTAATAGCTATATTAAAACTTAATCCTTTATATATTTAGCAGGGACTAAACCCTTATAGCTCACATCGTTCCTTTCAATATTATTAAATTGCTACTGTGTAGGCCAAGGGGGGGGGGGAATTACACTACCTGGTCGCATGATCCACCCATGTTTAACTCTTACATGTCTCTTCATTAAATCTGACCACAGCCTTTCTTTACAACTCAGTGGAACCACTTGCAACAGTTTATTCAACTGCTCCTGATCATTTAAGAGCTGCTTCAGAGTAAATCATTTAACTTATTAAACTCTTGGGGTTGAGACGATAATTAATTGATGGGTGTTAACTGTTTAATTTTGTTTCTTGGGAGTGTTAAAGGCATAGGGAAAAAAGGAAAGATTATTTTTATGAAAGATAGAAAAGGGAATCATTGTATTAAAAAAAATGTGATCTAAATTATAATTGTGTAGTAGATTATCAATGGGTCTTTCACATTAGGAAGTATACCAAGACTTTTGGTCGAAAAAGCCCACAGGTGATTCAAACAAGCAGCCTCTCTTTCTAATGATTAGCAAGCAAATGGCTGCAAGAACACCTGTGTCTAATTTACAGATATTATCAGACCTTTTTTCTTCTTTGTAATAAAAGGGGATGCTTTCTTTACTTCCCTCCAGGTTGTCTCTTTTCCCTTGTCTGTTTTGTGCTAGGAAGGAGCTGTGCTGTTAAAAGAGTTTAGAGCCTGTTTTTTGCTTGACCAGGATCCTGTGAAAATATGGGGACAGTAGAGAAGGTGTTTTGCAGGTAAAATGGATTTAGCAGAAGTTTTTTCCCCTTTTTTCTTTTATTTGATTGTAGTCCTATGCATCTGTGTCTGAATATGCATGTGAAGCTATATTTATGTGTGTGTGTGCACACACAAACATACATTCTTTTTTCTCTCTTGTACAGAATTTTGCTGCTTCTTTTACTACAGTGTGAAATAGGTTGGATGCAAGAAGCAGTAAATTCTCCAGGTTGGTGAACTCCAAGTCATTTCCTAACTTAATTCAGGAGCAGGACTACTACTAGCCTGCATGAGGCACTTGAAATAGTCAAGGGACACAAGGGCTAATCTTGATCCCCCACCCCTATATTTTTCCTGAGACCTTCCCCAACTATTCTCCTTTGCTAGTGGAGATAACTATGAGCTGCATGTACATCATTCATGTCCCTGAACAGCCTGCAGCCCTTGGTGAAGAACACTCTACTCTGGTCCCAACTGAAACTGCATTTCCACTCTGTCAAGAATTTGAGGCCTACGATGTGGCCGTACGCAACTATACCTTTCAGCCAACTTTTTAGAACTTTAGAAACTGGAGAATTAACGTTGTGACCAGATTATGTCTTTTATAACTAAGTTTCCTCAATCCCTTTCTAGCTTTTATAGAAAGTACTTGCCTCTCCAGCATATTTTGGGTGAAGCTAGACAAGTCCTTTCTTCAGAAGAAGTTTTTCAAGATCGAAGTAATTGGTGAGCTATCTGAGATATTAGAATATTGCTTATACTTGCAACTTGAGCAAGAACTTTTAATATTTTCAAATTAAAGTTTTCTTGTAATGAAGGTTAAGATGAAAATGTGCTTAGCTTTCCAATTCAGATAGATCAATCATGTTAATTTGAGGAGTGTCTTGAGGTCATAAATATGGGATAAGTGGGTGGAAAAGGTTTAATGTAAATATTGTGACTTATGTCCTTGGGTCAGATGCTTGGACCCTAGTCTAAACCTGGGATTTGTATATTGACATCACTGCAGGCCTACTATCATTCTCCATTTGCTGAGGTCACTGCAGGAATTATTAGTTATGTCATGGGGGTCAAATTGCTCTGGAATTAACACATTCAGACTCTAAACTGGTAGTGAATAGTAATAGAAATATTATCTGTGATCTTAAAACATAGATTAACTATTTGCTTTATATGGCGACCAAACAGCAATAAAATTGGAATTAAGGGTGTTGGAAGTAAGTCCCCACTTACCATCAATAATTGGGAGCAGCAACACTATTGCCAAACAAAATATCATATGACTGTGCTGACCTACAAAGGCAGTTGCAGCAGTTCTGGTTGCTTGCTGGTTAAGTGAATTCCATGCTGTTAATACAATATATGATTGCCATTTGCTACCTTCTGCCAGCTTTCCCATTGACTTTGCTTTGTTGCAAATGGTGATCACATGACAGTAGGATGCAGCGAACACTGTAATGGCAAATTGTTTCCCAAGCACCCAAATCATAATCACATGACTAGGAATGCTGCAATGGCTGCACCTATAAGGAGTGGTTGTAAATCTTGTTCAGCAGTGTCATAATTTTGACATTTGCTGAATGAGTGGTCATTAAACAAGAACTTACCTATAAATACCTTAGGAGAGAAAAATTAAACCAGAGCATATTGATAATCATTGTATTTTAAGCCAGTATTTAAAAAATGTCATGAAACTAAGGAATGGGTAGCTCATCAAGTTCCATAAAGCATGTATAAGAAGACTGAGGTGTTCCTGAACATCTATTTGTATACTGCATGAGTCAAAAAGAGGGCTGTGGAAATATTTACAGGCCCCTCATATCCTGGACATAAACTATTTCAACTCCTACCCTCAAAACGACACTATAGAGCACTGCACACCAGAACAACTAGACACAAGGACAGTTTTTTCCAGAACACTAAACAAATAATTCCCTCAACACTGTCCAACTATTTACAAAGTCTGCACTACTCTTACTATTAATCTTCTCATCACTCCTTATCACCCATCTCCTCCCACTTGTGACTATATGACTGTAACTGTCGCTTGTATCCTTATGATTTATATTGACTGTCTCCTAGTATGATTTGATTGCTTATTGTACCCTATGACTATCATTAAGTGTTGCACCTTATGATTCTTGACGAAGGTATCTTTTCTTTTTTATGTACACTGAAAGCACATGCACCAAGACAAATTCCTTGTGTGTCTAATCATACTTGGCCAATAAAGAATTCATTTTCATTCATTCTCTTCTGTTATTTCCCAATGAATCATAATGATCAATGGTGGGAGATATTGAGACTTATTTCTGTACCACCTGAAGAACTACATTTTTTTTCTTTTATCCATTGTGGAAAAAAATGCAGTTTCTGTCTTGTTGGTTAGGCTGGCTGCTATTTTAGCTTGACTATAAGAGATTCTTTTCTATGCTTCTAGACCTATCCGGTGTTCCATTTTTGGTGGACCAGATGTTGGGAGCTCGCTGTGGCTATACTCTGTCGAAGGATGTATGGGGAAATCCCATCTTCCGGGCTTCTTTCTTTGGCTGTCATGTTATAAATGAGGTGAGCCCAAGTAATAGTCACACACACACACACCCAATAGAAAAAGTGAACACTGTCTTAAGCATTGGTAAACATAAATAAAGCAAGGGTCTACATGACAGATAAATGCATAAAACAGAGAATAGAGACTCTTGGTTTGTTTGTTTTTCGCAAAATTATTTTTAAAATAATCTCTTACTTTAAACTGAGGTATCTGCTCTTGACATGGATAATGTTAGGATCTCTAGCACTGAAGGGAACTAGAAAAGGAAACACAGAGGCTGAATTTAATTTAAAACAGATAAAGGGAGCTGAGACCCAAACTGCATCTGCAACTCATGATGAGGCATAGCATCTGTGGTTTTTATTTTTGGCTTTCTTAGCTCCTGCTATTTTAAGAATATGAGGCTCCCTTGGATCATCAAACAGCAAGTATCTTGCAGAGAGACAACTTTTGTTGTTATCAGAACTCAGCACAGACATATAGATAGCAAAATTAAACTAATGGATGTGGTTGACAATTTTATCATTTTTGTGAATTCCTGTCTCAAAGACAAGAGTCAGTTGAGTGTAGAGGTTAAGGCATCAGGCTAGAATCTAGGAGACCATGGATTTGAAGCCTACCTTAGGCACGAAGCCAGTTGGGTGACCTTGAACTAACTAGTCTCTTTCAGCTCAAGGGCAAATCGCTTTTGAAAATTTGCCAAGAAAGTTCTGAAGAGACTTGCTCAGGCAGTCTGAGAATCACGCACAACTGAACAACAGCAACAAAAATCCTAAATACAGTACATATAGAGAGATATGTTTGCTGGTCTACATCAGATATATATACTGGAAAAAATAAAGTGTGCCAGTACTGCATAGGACCTGTTGGGAGTTTCTGTTTTGAGTAAAAGATGTTAATATATTTTAAGTTGTTTTAACTTTTGTGCTTAGTCATCTTAATCACGAATGGAAGCGCGGTGGGAAGCTGGAAACGGACGTAGGCTTGAAAACATGCTTGAAAAAAGCAATTGTTTGACCTGTTTTGCAAGAGAACACAAAGCATTGTGCTATAATGGAGGATCAGTATCTGCTGATTGTGACAAATTTGTGTAAAGGTTGCATATCAGTCCCCTGATGCATGAAGAGGCAGGTACAATAACCAAAGCGATCTAAAATGCAATGCAGGGATGGGATTCTACCAGTTCGCACCTATTTGCTAGAACCGGTTCTTAACATTCTAAGCAGTTCAGAGAACCAGTTGTTAGAAGAAATTACTGGCCTAATCCTGTAAGGAAGGCAGGAAGGAAACATTCTGGTGTTGCTTACAGAAACTGCCTCTCTGTTAACCCTTTTTACATTCTTGGCAGGAGTAGACTTCCTGTCTCTGGAGTTTTTTTCCCCTCCTTTGCTGGTACTTTGCTTGTGTGGAGTGACCATTCAAAATTACAATGGCACTGAAAAAAGTGACTTATGACCATTTTTCACACTTACGACTGTTGCAGCATCCCACAGTCATGAGAGGCCAGGTGAGGAGATGCGTGCCTCGATGTGAGTGATATTGAGTTGGCCATGCCCAGCCAATAAACATGACCACCAAGCCATGTCCACCCAGTCACATGACCACCAAGCCACACCCACCACCTAAGCCATGCCCACAGAACCGGTTGTTAAAAATTTGAATCCCACCCTGATGCAATGGGTTCAATCCAACTAGATAAACTACTATTCATACAAGAGAACTTCTATTTTATATTTCTCAGTCCCAGAAATTTTTTAGCAGTCCTATAGATTTGAAGGGGGGAGGCTGCAATAGGAAGGACATCTCCCCCAATGCATTTATTAACAAGATAATTAGATGGGTACAAGCTAATAAGCCTATAAATAATTAAATCAGAGGTATCCAACCTTGGCAACATTAAGATCTATGGACTTCAACTTCCAGAATTCCCTAGCCAGGATGGCTGGCTGGGGAATTCTGGGAGTTGAAGCCCAGGGTCATAAAGTTGCCAATGTTGCACACCCCCTGATCTAAATGCTGACTTTCTCAAGAATTTTGTGGTAGGAAGCATTCCCCATTGATAAATACAGTACTCCCACTAGTGATATTACAGGTGCTTTTTTCAATGATTACAGAAAGATGAAAAGTTCTCTCTTACTGTAAACATCAAAGTATCGTCATTTGAAGACCTGCGGGCAGCTACAGTTTACCAGCATCCCATGCACTGCTATTTCTCATGGGCTCCAAGGGAAATTCTGTGTGAAGAGAATTACATGGAGGTAAGACCTGGGTCATGGGCTCATTAAGAGTATGGGCAATTTGTTGAAATCAAAATGTCGCCGTGACAACGATTCACTGGCTCTAGATTTGTTAGCGATAGTCTTATATCTAATAGCTGGGCAGATAAATATTATTGTCTTTCTATATGAATAGGAAAATATTCGTTTTAATTTCTCTAAAACAAGAATTAGATCAAGAATTAGTTTGGATTTTGTAATAACACTGTTGGATTCTGTATTGAAAACGCCTCATTCCATTTCAAGGTGTCAGTGAAGACTGATGTCCCGGGGATTTCAGATGCTGAATGGATGTCAGCACTACCAGAGGTACAGTAGGAATATAATTAAATATCTTCCTCAATCGGTAGGCAATTTATAAACAAAAACAAACTGATTCCTTTTAACTCCATTTAAAAGGCTTCTAAATTGTATTCCTCACCCTCAGTTTGACTAGATTAGAAGTACAGAAGTTTACTATCAAGCTTGCATAGTAAACTCTGTGCTGCCTACGTGTATGGGACTCAGTTGTTTTTCCTGGTACTGTAGGAATTTCTATTTGTCTTTGTTCTTTAATTTTATTTTTCTTAAGTATTTTTTTAAATTAAAAAAAGGAGGAAACACTGAACTGTAGAGTTGTAATTGCAGGAATGTTCCAATCTCGGATGGCAAACCTCAGATAAAGAATGTTTCCAAGCAAATACAACTCAGGCAAACAAAGTCACTAATCTATGGATAAAGGAGGATTAGAGAGGGGAAGTAGACATATGTTAGACTTTAACTAGAGATAATTAATTGTATGGATTACTGTACTAAACAGTAACAAAAGTTAAGCAGTAACCAAAGTTAACCAATGATGGAGGATAACTAAAAATGTATATAAATGCAAGACTATACTCCACTAAAGATCATCATAATTCAGTTGTTCATGATCAAACAACTCGACTGCCTCGTCATTACAACACTGAACAACAACAAAAGAGAAACCACATAGAGGATTCTTTGGCATTGTAACAACTGAATACGGCTAAGTTTGTTAATAGTTCATTAATTTTGCACAAATAGATTACATTGTTTTAAAAGCTGTAGACTGGTTAAAAACCGAATATGGTAATATACAAATGTTAACAGTAATAATAATCATAGTATATATCATAAAAACAGTTGGAAATTATAGTACTTTCTGTACAAAAAGATCTTATTTATTTAGCAGATTATTGAAAGTTAAAATATTAAGACTTTCTACTAAGAGAAACCCAAATTTTGTATGATACAAGCTCATATGTAGAATTATTCAAACATGGCTTCCAATTCCACTTAAATTCTATTGTCAGATTTATTTTTGAAGTACAAATTTATTGAAGCGTGTGATTAGCGAACCGATTGTTACACCGGCAGCATCCCACCACTGCCCACAGTGTCTCCTTAAGTCTCATTTCCCAGGTGTGCCTTGTGAAGATGGACGGGACACTCTTCTTCTAAGTAGCCTGCTTCGTCTCCACTGTTCTCACCTCCTCTCCACTCTCTGTGCTCTCAGATCAGGAGGGGGTGGCCCTGGCCTTCCCCATTTTCCTCCGAAGCCACTGAAACTGCCCGCTCAATCTGTCAGCTCAGGTTCCAGTTAGTCTTACCCCGCAGATTCAGGTTCCGACGGGGGCATGACAGAGACATTCAAGATGGGCTAGACTTAAATCTCTTGCGGGTGTGCAGGGACTCGTGACTTATTACTTCCTTGGGCTCAGCCTGGTCATCTCCTACAGGAAGTCTTAGAAGATTTTATCTTTTAGATACTGTAAATCAGAGAACAAAGACAAGAAGATTTGGAAATTAAGCATCTAAATTGACCACGTTAGCTGGAACTTCTGGGGATTTCAGTACTAAAGCATTAAGTCACAAATTGGGCCTCGTTCAAAATATTAGGGCTAAAAAGAAAAACCTGTTAACGCCCTTTAACTTCTGTAATGGTATGCGGAAATGACCTTGAGAGATAGGAGGAAGAGCCACAGATTAGACAATGATCAGATAAGAGGTAGCTTAGCTTGCAGAAGCAATGGGGGCATGGCAAACATCTCAGAATGGACCCTTCCTAGTTTCTTGATTGGTAAAGGCAAGGGGGAAGAGATATACTTTCAGACTTGCAGGATTCTGTTAACCTAATCTTGCAATAAAGTTAGAGCTAGTATTTCTGAGTGGGCATCTTGTTTAGACTATCTCACAAAACTGACAACTTCTAAGCCTTATTGAAACTGCAGAATTTTGTGTGCTTGTTGAATAATCTTTTTGCCATTCTGCAGTTTGAAAATTCTTATCGTCTTTGATTTTTTCCCTCTCTTTTAGGCACAAAAGGTTATGTATCAGATGTGGAATTTGATGTTCTATTCTTCATCAGGGATAAAAAAAACAGGAGTAAGAGATGCTGACAAACTGGGCTACAGCTTCAATAATACACTGGCAAGAGTGTTCCTTCGCTCACCATACTCTACAAATGAAACTCAAAATACAGTGGTAATTTGTCCCCCCCCCCTTCACTCAAAAGCGAGATGTCATAAGCTATCTTGTTCTTCAACTGGTCAAAGTAAAATTTTACCATGAATTTTTCACAGGTTAATGGGGTCACAATGAGCACAATCAGCTCCACGTCCAGGTATAGGCAAAGATGGTTTCTCCTGCTGATTGACACAACTGTATCATGCCCAGTTGGCAAGTATTTTTCTCCTCCTACCGTGAAAATTCATGGCTTATCCGGGGAAGGAAGGGTATTGAAGGTTCATGCAACCAGGACCTACTAGCAAGCAATGATTTCTGCTAATTATACTTGCAAGCGCGTCAAAAAGAATTTGTACATTGAAATAATAAATTTTAAAATGAGATCCCGGCAGCTTGTGTACAAGGAGTCTGGAAAGATGGTTCATAAATGTTATAGTATTGCCTGTTAGCAGTAATATGCAAAGCTTTGATTTTTGTTTAGCAATGAATTGAAACTGACAAGTGCTATAAATCAACAGATGGTACCAGCTTCACAGATGCTTCTCTGATATGGACTATACCAGTGATTAACCCAAGACTGGTCCTTCACGAATCCACTTTCAGATCGCTTAAAGTAACAATGGGAATTAATGGGGAAAAAATAGAGAACCCTGAGGAGTTCAACTACACATTGGAACATAACATTACACACATTGGAGTAACTATCCCAATTGGAGCCCCTAGAGGCAGACTTCAGGTAAATATAAGCTCTACTATATGTATAGTATATGGGTATAGAGGGGAATATCAGGGAAAGTGTGTGATCTGTAAGGTAACATATTGGAACATAGTGTGAACCTATTACAACAAAGACAATGCCTATATGCAACACCACTTAATAGTTCTAATTTGTCTTTTTCTCAGAGCACAGTATCTAATGGTGTCTATGGAGTGACCTATAGTATTGATCTATTGATGGAACATTCTTGGACAGATACAGATTGGCAGCTCACCAAGTACCTTGTGATTAAACCAATTACTATACCCTTCCTGCCTCGAATACCAATAGTAATCAATAGTAAGTATGTGTGGCTACATATAAAATCAAACAGGAGTCTGCTTGTCAGTCTAAATAAGAGGTGCTGATGTTGTTAACTGTAATGAACATATACAGTTTGTTGCCCTGCAAAGAACAGAGTGTGTGTCTCCCTTTAGAAATCTAGCAAAGCCATTAAAATAATTAAAGAGGTTGATTAAATAAAGGTAAAAGCAAAGGTTTCCCCTTTCCAGTCAAATCCAAATCGAGGAGGCAGTGCTCATCTCCGTTTCCTAGCTGAGGGAGCCAGTGTTGCCAAGCACATTTCCGTAGTCATGTGGTGAGCATGTCTATAACCGAAGCACGCAAAACAACACTGTTACCTTCCCACCAAAGTGGTATCTATTTATCTACTCCCATTTGCAAGCTTTCGAACTGTTAGGTGGATGGGAGCTAGAGCAAAGATGTGGCACTCAGGTTTCAAATTCCAGCTGACAACTTTCCAGCTGACAAACTCAGCTCTTTAACCACTAAGTCATTGTGCTCCCTGTTAGTTAAAATATGCAGGTCTAATCTTGACTTTAAACAGTTTATAGAGAACTTACAGCCTTTTGAATTTCAGAACTGAAGAATAGGTTGAGAGGAGCTGGGTGCTTTTTCAATGCATTCCAAAAAGAAGGAACATTAGTAGCAAACACTTTCTTCAGCTCTACTTTCAAAGGATAGATCATTATAAAACAGTATTTCCTGGGAATAACCAAGTTCTTATGCTTAGAATTTTTCCAATAACAAATGTCCTCTTGTTTACATAGATACAGTTCCAGAAACACGGATATTTGATGTATTCTTGGGTGTCTTCCTTCCTGATGTCAATCTGGTGACTCTTACAATTGGAGATATAACTTACTCTCTCAGGGAAGCGGAGGAAAAAGGCTACAGGATCTCTGTTATTTCCTTCCCCAATGGAACAAGAGGTTTTGAACTGGAAGTGCCTTTTGATGATCCCAATGTCCTAAAAGAAGTAAGATACTGTGTGTTGGGGGGGGGTGTCTCTCATTGGAGGAAGCACTGAACAAACATTGTGATACTAGCAAATAGGGAAAAAAAAACCTAAAAAAACCCATTGTGCTTAATATTACACAGAGGCCTCCAAACTTGGCAACTTTAAGACTTGTGGACTTCAACTCCCAGAATTCTGGGAGTTGAAGTCCACAAGTCTTAAAGTTGCCAATTTAGGGACCCCTGATATTACATTTATGCATCCTGGTTGCTATGGCATTAAGATGCCCCATATAGGTTGCTGAGGACATGATCTCACTCTGTAACCTCCATAATTGTTACTAGCCCTTTGCTGAATCCAACTGAAACTGAACTGTCTTGGTTGAAAGTAGTGTTTCTCCAGCTATTTTAACAGATGTTCTAGTGTGCGTGGAAAAGGAGCCTTTAGGAGACTGGCAACCTGCAGGGCTCTGATTGGGTTGCTGCAAGATCAACACTCCCCCTCAAACTGGAGGCCTCTGCCTCGATGGCCATTTTTGTAGTGGCTTCTAGAACCAAATAATTCCTGGTGAAGCCTGTTTTTCCTTTTAGAGGGGCCTTGGACATGGGAATATCAACCTTATAAGCACATCAAACGCAGATCTGCTAGGAGGTAGACATTCCCATTCCCAAGTAAAAAAAATATTTAGGAAGAGCAAATCTGTATTTTATCCCATTAGCCAACATAACCCTAGTTATGATAAGAGCCTGTGTAAAGATTAGAGGACAAGCCTGGGTAATTAATAGGTTTTGTCCTAAACAGTGTCCTTTCTATTAAAAGGATGTTGCCAAATACTGTTGGATTTCATGGTTTTAATTTGTTGTTTTAAGTATATGAACATAAATGAAACTCGATATCACCTCCGAGTAATCTACACTCTGACCGTGGGTCCTGAAGAGAAGCTGTATCGTCATCCTGCAGACGTCGAATGCATAATGGAAGATGTCCGTAAGTTGACTGACCATATTGACCCATCAGTGACTTTTTAGATAGTTGGCTTAACTTTTAGCCACAATGGACAGAAGGCTAGTTCAAGAATTAAACTATTGGGAGCAATGAAATCTGTATGTTCTCTGTTTAAATGAGAACATGAAAAAGATTGCCTAAGCTTTGTTTTGTTTTGAAATGACAAGCAATAGCAATTTAATTGCAATGTTTGGGCAAAATGTTCAAACTATATAATAATGGTCTCAAGTACTACGATCTATCAAATTCAGCCTACAGGTGTGTAAGGGGTGGGCATAAGTGCATAATCGTGCCTACTATCCCTATCCTATGGTCCCCATTTATTCGTACCTATTTCCTGTTTTCTACTCATATACATATTATTTTGCAAGCGATTGACAAATCAAATAAATAAAATTAAAAAAAAATACTTCTAACTTTCTCCTTTGTGGGTGTCTTCATTTTGCCTCTGGTTCTTTAACAACCCTGGTGCCTCTTGTCTCAGTGCAATGGAGAGTTTGATAATGATCTAAACTATTAACTAAAGACCAAATTATTCAAAAAAATTATCAGCTTACCAGTTATGGAATTGTAGTACAATCATATTTTAATACTTAATTTTAAAAGATCTGTTAAAGGAACATTTGTAGAGGTTATTTTAATATGACTTAATTTTTTATTTTTTTTCTACAGAATTACCAGAAGGCATTGGATACTGTGACAAAGAGAATATATATTTATATGTTACAACTGCAGGCCTATTTCATTACTGGATTCTATATATAGGCAATACTCCTTTGAATTATATCACTGCCCAAAGAAATGGATATCTTATCACTACAAATGATACTCATCTACTATTGCAAGTGCCTTTCTTTGCTCCTGGGATAATCTATGAGGTATATATTACAAGTGAGCCCTACTAGCTGGTAGCACCTAGCTTGGTTTGCTCATCCAAAAACTTAAGCAGGGTTAAACATGGTTAGCATTGGGACAGAAAGCTATCAGGAAATTGCAGGAAAGTAGAAATAAAAAAATCCTAGAAGGAAAAATGAAATAACTTATATGCTGTTATCAATAAAACTACATTCTCTCTCTCCTCTCTCTCTCTCTCTCTCTCACTCACTCACTCACTCAAAGAGAATTGTTTTTTTTCCTCCCATTTTTTCCACTCATGTTTTTCCTCCCATAGTGACATGGTTTGTTTTTTTTAAAGTAAATGCCTGTGCCAGTTTCTAGTGTCACACAATTGCAGAAAAAATTAATTGATTGTAAGAGTTTCAGTTATATTTATGTTAATTTGCATTTAATAAACTTTAGTGAAAAACACCATGCACATATATGGGGGTCAATATTTAAAGCATTCTTTCCCATTAATGGAAGCGTCCTCATAATTAGCAGCCAAATTGAATGAATTCTTTAAAACATTAACACAAATTGACGCCCCAAGCTAAGAATACAGAAAATGACCATTCACTTTCCATAGAAATAGCTGTGCCTGAATTTGGAGAGCTTTAGGTCACAGCAGAGGTAATGGCCACTTTAGCAAAAACAAGAATGGAAATAGATGTGTTAAGCCACTACAAAGCAACATTTGAGCCACAGTGGCACGTGGGTTAGAATGCAGTACTGCAGGCTAATTCTACTGACTGGTGACTGCCTGCAATTTGGCAGTTTGAATCTGATCAGGCTTAAGGTTGACTCAGCCTTCCATCCTTACGAGGTGGGTAAAATGAGGACCAAGATTGTTGGGGGCAATAGGCTGACTCTGTAAACCACTCAGAGGGCTGCAAAGCACTGTGAAGCAGTATATAAGTCTAAGTGTTATTGCTATTTATTTATTTCTGTCTTTAAATCCTCTGGTCTTTCCTCCCAAAGCCAAAGTCTATCCATCTAGCCAGCTACATTCTTTTCATTTTTCAAACTTGTATGCTGGCCAACTCCCAATAACATCATTGCATTGCTGGACAAGCACCTTGTTTTCCCCTAAAGTGAAATAAATGAAATGAAATGCAGCCCGCCAAGAAAACGCTGCCCCCATCTTTCTAAAATATGTTGTCATTTAGTAATTTTAAAACAAAGCAATTTCAGTTAAACAATTTTGAAACAAACAATATCCTTAAAATATGCTTCTATTTTTTTTTTAAGGAAGTGTCCTTTGAGAGAATCCGAACTAGATTTGATCTGGACCTGAAGAAAATGGCCACTCTAGAGACTCTGAAGACCTTTTCTATTAGGTGTAATTTTCAGTCCTCAGAATTCATAGGTAAAGTCTATTCTTAGCTGAGAATAGGCTCTTTGAGGGAGAGATGTTTTGTGATCTAATTCATTGTCTCCTATTTTTTTCAGTGTGCTATCCTAATGGAACTGTAACTGTATTGGCTCACATGAAGACAGTTCCATCCATTGACATGAGCAAAACAAGACTGAAGGATAAGATTTGTAAGCCTCTAGACTATACAAAGAGCCAAGCTTTATTTCAATTTCAAGTTTCTACTTGTGGCACTTCCTTAATGGTAAGGAACTGAGAAAAGGCTTCCCAGAAAAAAACAAAACAGAGGTAATTTTGTCATCGAGTATATTAGATTTGATATTTTTTCTCTAATACAGTTTAATGATGAACACCTTATTTATGAAAATGAAATATCCTTTGAAAAAGAAACTCTTCTAATACAGAATCGACCAATTATCACAAGAGATCCAGGATACAGGTAAAATAACTAAATCACAGCCGATTTCATTTTAAGTTCAGGAATTTAAAATACATATATATATTTTATTGCAGACTGACTATCTTGTGCTATTATCCAATCAAAGAGACCTTGATGCAAAATGCTGTGTTCTATGGTTCCTCATCTAGAACTTTACCTTTTGGTTTTGGCACAATGATGTCTTGGCCTAATAGTGAAGGTAGGTAATTTTCTTAAATGTACAACTTATGAATATCTGTCTGCAGCCATGACAGCCATTATAATTTATTCCACAGGCCTTATAAGGACAAGACAAGTTCTAAATATCCAGGCAAATATATTCAAAGGTAAGATTCTTCTAAACATGAAAATCATAAGCCTAAAATTATGTATTGTTTCAAAAACCGATCATTCCCCTCCTTTTTCCCCTCATATCAGATGAATCATTCACAGAAGCCTATATGTCTCATTCATTAGTTTTCAAGGGTTCATGGGAACCTCTATTTTTTGAAGTAGAATTAAAAGATGAAGCCCCTAATGTTGAGCTATTTTTGGAAAACTGCTGGATGACACAATCTGAAGAAATCAACAGCATTCCTCACTGGAACTTTATTGTAGATGGGCAAGTAACACTCCAGAATTATTTGTAATTATTATTATTAAATCTGTAGTCTAACAATGGGGATTTTCTCATCCTACCAAATAGATGTGAAAATAAAAGCTATGGATCTGTGATCTTCTCTCCAGTAACCACAAGCAATCCAATAAAATATCCTAATCACTTCAAAAGAATGAGGATACAGAATCTGACTCTTCCTCTGACAGAGGTATTAATGATCTAACTATATAAAACACTGACCAAATCACATGAATCAGTTTGCAATGGTCATTGTGTTAAAATATCTTTGGAAGAAATCAAACTGTCCTTTTGTAGACATTAAACTATCTTAAATATTAATAAAAACAAGTGGAAACAATTATAGTGCAAATAAATTATTAATGTTCAAGGAAAATAGTGAAAATCATGAAATTAGATCTATCTTCTTAAAAAAGATCCCTACAGATTCATACAACTGAAGCCAAATACAAAGTCCAAAGATCTTACAATCTCTTCCTCTGATCATCTCTGTGGTAAAGGATGTCACCACCTCTTTTGCTTTTAAGTGGTAAAATGCTACAATTTCATCCATTGCTACTTTAAATATTTGGAGGAAAATGAGATTAAAATCCAAGCTATTCTAACTTTTCTTCTGGAAGGTATTTCTTAATGGGTCAGTTACATAGAACATAAGAGCAGTTGGAGTTCAACTTGCTAAACTTTGGGATTTATTCACATAAATATATAAAGGACTTCTAATAAAGCTTCTGTTCCTTGTGTATCTTTTAAATCCCTATTCAGGTATATTTGCACTGCACAGCAACAATTGGCACTTGCCTCCGTGTGCCTAGAAGCGGACTTCCCTGTAAACCATGCTCTCCTGGAACAATGATTGGTAAGTTTTCCAAAGAAAGCTGGAGATATGCCACCCATTAATAGAGTGGTTATTACTACATTATGAGTTCATTGTATATTGTAAGTTCCTATTTGGCACCTGTTCATTCAATAGATCCTTAACCAATACTTCTTACAATGCTTTAGATCAGTATTCTGAAATTTACCCTAACCATCATGGTTATGTAGTAACTGGACCAGTCTTTATCCTTCAACCTGAGCAATTTAAAGAGCTGAACATCACAAGAAATAAGGTAGGTTTCGGGGCTGAAAATATTATAAAAATTGAGGTGAATGCTAGTGGAATCAAGACTGCTGGACTACTAAATTATCATCATTGATGTAATTGTGTAGAATAACATTGCAGTGATCATAGATGCATTTAAGTATTCTTAATTCTACACGTAAATGTGGGGCAATGTTATTCCTGAGAATAATAAATAATAATAATAATAATAATAATAATAATAATAATAATAATAATAATAATAATAATAATATTCCTGAAATAAATAATAAACCATGATTTAGGGGCTGAACAAATCAGTAGAAAATTAGCAGTTTGAAGGAAATCCAAAATATGTCACAATCCCACCTCAAAAACTTTCAAGAAATCATATTGCGATTTTCCCATGTCCCAAGAAATGAAAATAGATACATTCTGAGTTTGAGGAATAAGATCAGTTAAAAATAAGGTATTGTCAGAAAACTCAAGATTCTTAGATGGAAGAACATCCTGAAATCTATGCTAAAGTAATTTTTAAAATCAGAGCATCCACATTTATGAAGGAAATAGGTAAAATAATTAGTAATCCTTATCCTGTTCAGGAATAAGTGCAATATTGCCCTATTAAAACTAAATTAAACTAAAAAGAAAAGAAAAGGATTTATTTGAATCAATTTTACTATATACCTCTAATAAAGCAAGAGATTAAAAAACCAGGGTACTTTTTACACCAATCCACTAGAAAAATCATCAGGGTCAGGTGTCTTCCTTGCTTTTATAAGGCAACAATTTCATCAAACAATAACAATTATATAAAATTAGTAACCTATCCTGTTGATAAATTTAATATAACTCCCTTTGTATTAAACCCATCTTTTGTTTGTGAAAAACTGCTATTATATAATTTTTGTATTTCTGAGTATCATTTCCTTACAGTAATGTGTAAAAGATATATGTGTATTAAGAGTGTTAAATATATTTCACACTGTATTATGTACAATATATAATTGTTTTCTATAGTTTTTTTTAAAATCAGTGTTGGAAATGTCAAGTATTAAGTACATATTTATTAAGAATCCACAGAATGATATCAGTGAGGAAATGAGCAGAGTGCATAAAAATATTCAATTTTCTCCTCTACAAATATAACTTGTCAACTATTGTTTCTTTTTATATGAAGCAATGCAATAATATGTTTTTAGATGAGGAAATGCTTTAATAGTGCCCCACATAAAGATAGTGACATAAGCAAATCCCTTTTAATATATGAACAAGCTGCTATTTTTTTCTTCTGTTCAGTGAACTATTATTCAGCCAAAGGATTCATTCAAGAACAACTTAAAGAATCTATTCAAATGCTTATCAAACAAAAGACTAAACTTTACAGAATGGCCTGAAATGGTCATACCCTTAGTTTGGAGTACCAGAGAAGGAGGTATCAGGGAATAACCTAGTCAAAGGCAACTCCTGAATGATTTGGCATTCTGTGCAATTCTTACTTGATGTGGTAGAACCTTCCCTATACTGTATCCCCAGATTACTTCTCAATTATGCTTGTACTTCTGTTCTTACTACTACCTAAGGAAGTTCCCTCAGGAAACGGGGAGGTAGAGGATATCCTGCTTAGAGCTTCCTTTAAAATGATTGCTAGCTCTGGCAAAGTTTTTAAGCCACAAGCTTACCAGCAGCATTTGAAGGTCAGTACTTACCTTGAAACAGAAGTCTGAGCTAAGAGTTGCAAACTGTTGATTAAGCAATCTGTATAGCCATACATTAATCACTGAGTTTGGGAGAATATAACTTGCACAAGGACAAACATGTAGGGCATCAATTTATCTACCTTACAAGCACTGGCATCTATAATGAACTAACTATATATTTTGTTTTTTCTTTCCTACAGGTATAACCATGCAGTTACCATGGCCAGCTTTACTTGGGATTGTTAAAATATGTTTCATACTAACTTCCTAATAATAAAAGCTTCATGAATTAAAAACAGAAGATACAAATTTTTGAATCGGTCATATTTGAGATTTAAAATTTGCTACTACAAGGTTATTCAAGAATACATTTCTTTTAAAAAAGTATAATTTTTCATTGAAATATTGGGATTACACAAATAAAAATATTTAATTACACTAGATATAACACCTCACATTTAGAGTTGGGTGTGCACATATTACATAATCCATCATCTTTCAACCTAATTTCAGTAATGAAAATACAATGAGAACACCAGTCGGTAATATTGTGAGAGCAGAAATAACCAAAGCTTGATATATTGCATAACAAATCTAATTGCTTATTAAAATAATACTGTATTTTGTAAACTCAGATTTATGGTTAAGCATACAGGTAGTCCTCAATTTATGAGCATAATTGAGCCCAAAATTTATGTGGTTAAGTGGAAAATTTGTTAAGTGAGTTTTGCCCCATTTTACGCCTTTTCTCACCACTTTTGTTAAGTGAATCACTGCAGTTGTTAAAATTAGTAACACAGTTGTTAAGTGAATCTGGTTTCCCCATTGACTTTGCTTGTCAGAAGGTCGCAAAAACCGTGATCCTGAGACATTGCAACCATCATAAATATGAGTCAGTTGCTAAGCATCTGAATTTTGATCCCATAACCACAGGAATGCTGTAACGGTCATAAGTGAGAAAAACGGTCTTGAGTTGCTTTTTTCAGTGCCGTGGTAACTTTGAACGTCACTAAATGAACTGTTGTAAGTCAAGGACTACATGCATTGCCTGAACATGGTATCTATCAGCAGCAGGATGATTAATCCCTTCCTGGCAAACCAAGGTCATTCCCTATTTCTTTTCAGCAATATAGGTGGTGGGCATAAAGCTTTTGATCTCAACCTTAAAAAATGATTAAACCTTTCTCCAACCTAGGCAAACCACAAGTCACGCCTCATCGGCAAAGTATAGAATAGAATAGAATAGAATAGAATTCTTTATTGGCCAAGTTCACAAGGAATTTGTCTTCAGTGCATAAGGTCTCTGTACATAAAAGCTATAAGTGACAAATCATGATCATAGTCATCATAAAAATACATTCATCATAAATCATAAGATACAATGCTTAGTGATAGTCATTGGATACTAAATAAGCAATGAACATAAATCATACTAGGAAACTAAATAAAACAATGTATATCATAAAGATACAAGCAACAAAGTGATAATAAGTAGAAAAGGAGATAGCTCATAGGGAAGATGAGACTGCTACTAATACAGCCTTACTAAATAGTCTGTTGTGGGAATTACGTTTAGCAGAGTGATGGCATGGAGGAAAAAAATGGTGTGCAGTGCTCTATAGTGTCGTTTTGAGGATAGAAGTTGGAACAATTTATGTCCAGGACATGAGAGGGTCTGTAGATATGCCTATAATCCTAGTATTAAAAAAAAATCTATTCGTGTATTCAATCTGTTCCTTTTTTTTCTCCTCAAATCACGGCAACCCGTTATTGGTTTTCGGTTTTTCTCCACGCACAACAGCCCAGATGGCTGCTGACCTCAAAGATACTTCGTGGTTGCGCTGAACCATCCGCGTTATCTAAACTCTAGCCCGACAGCTCGTCTGAACATGTCCAATAGGACCTTTCCTCTGAATAAATCTATCAACCGGAGCTTGCGGGCGTCACGTGTCTTCCTCCACAGTAGGCAGGGCTGCCCCAGCCAGGAGGGGAATGCCGATTTCTTTGTCTAGTCTCGCTTGAGATTTGGCTAGGGACGGAAGCGGAGGCACAGGACGGGCAAGCAGGACGGAGTACATGGCGGGAGATTCGAGGGTCGAAAGCGCCGGGGACTTGCTAGCCGCAGCCCACGAGCACTTCGAAGAGCGGCAGCACGAGAGGGCGGAGGAGCTCTACAGCCAATACATCCATCACTGCGCATGCTCCACCATGAGGTGATTCAGTGCCGGGATAACGCGCCTATGGGATCCCAAGTCTAAGCCCGACGGGGGGGTTGTTTCTTGCCGAGGAGTGATCGGTTGATTACTAATCCCCGGAATCCTTTTCCACTCCTAGAGACCCACGTAGATCTTCTCCATGGCGAGCCTGACCTGTTCTTGCAGGTCTGGCGAGAGGATGCATTTCGTCGGTTGAGTGCAAATAATCGTGTCCGTCCAGCTTGTGCTATATGCAGTATGCTAATGTTAGAGACGATATCTGTTAATACCTGCACTTTTTGCACAGGATACCATACACGCAAAGTTCAGTTTTATCCCAAGCATGCTCATACTACTCTGTACAACCGAGGATTTCTAACTTAAGAGGCTGCCTTGCAAACCCAAATCCTAAGAGTTGCATGAATTGTACTGAAGCATCCCTGAGAAATTATTTGGTTTTATCTCAAGCAGCATTCCATATTATATCATGCTTACTATGGTAATGAAAAAAATTGTAAATGAAAAAATTACAGGAAGGTGTTGACTTAAAGTCACAATTGAACCCAACATTTCTGTTGCTAAGCAAGGCAGCTGCTAAGTGAGTTTTGCTCCATTTTATGATCTTTCTTGCCACAATGAAATGAATCCCTGCAGTTGCTAAGTTAGTAACTTAAGTGAATCTGGCTTCCCCACTGACTTTGCTTATCAGAAGGTTGCAAAAGATGAGCATATGAGTCCGGGACACTGCAACTGTCATAAATATGTGCCAGATCCAAGTGTCCCAAGTTTTATTACCTGATTGTGGAGATGCTGCAATGGTCATGTGAAAAACAGCTATAAGTAATTGTTTTCAGTGCTGTACTAACCTTGTACAGTCATTAAACAAATGGTTGTACAGTAGGTCAAAGACTACCAGTACAATAAACGTTTTTTTCTTTTCCTTTAAGCAAACACCTTTGCCATGATCTGGCAACAGCACTTAACAACAGAGGACAAATTAAATATTTCAGAGTTGAATTTTATGAAGCTATGGATGATTACACGTCAGCTATACAAGCACAACCAGATTTTGAAATCCCTTATTATAACAGAGGATTAATATTATATAGATTAGGTATGTACATAGACTTTTCTTAAATATTTAAATATCACATAATTATAATTGTTTTGTATAACTGCTTTGACTATTTTCTTTTTAATAGAGCTTTGTAAATGTATTCCTTTCAAGAAACCTAGTTCATTTTTTTGGGGAGATCCATGTTAAGATTACGGGGAAGTTCTTGAGAAATTGTTCATTTAAGTGTTTTATTTACGGTATATATTAAAATATTTAGATAATGCTTCACACAAAATATCTCACAGTTTGCAATGTACATAAAAATAACAAAAACTTTAAGATAAAACCATTAACATAAAATACCTGCATGGTACATTAAAAGCAAATGGAAGAGGGAAAAACAGCTTTTCGCTGTCATTCATACTGGAAAGGCCTGAGTGAAATTTTTAGTTTAGTTTACTTTATTGTCATTGCACCTCGTACAATGAAATTAATTGCCATGTTCAGTGTACATTATAACTATAAAAATAAAAACAAACACATCCTTCACATTCTATACAATTGAATTGAAAACCCCTGATAATTGCATTAATATTGCACTATACAGTAGAATTCAATATATTATTGGGGTGGGAGAGCAGTATTTCAAAAGAATGAGGTTCATCTGTCCATAGCCCATGATGATAACTTGAAAATAGTGATACTGTTGTCGGTATTCCCTAGATGATTTTATTCATAATATAGATTAATAACACTGAAGGTGATCTATGGTACTATAGATATCCATTAATGTTTGTCTTGTAAACAGCAATGGGTCATGCCCAGTATTTCCTAGCCGAACCACAGACAACTACAATGATCTAATACATATCGATTTTACAGAAGACAATGTTGAAAAAGCACTACGCAATCTAAAACCATCTCTATCTATTGGACCGGATGGAATATGTGCCTACTTCTTAAAAAAGCTATCCACTGCCATAGCCAAACCTTTAAGCATAATCTTTGAAAAATCTTTCAGGACCAGCTCCTTGCCTAACCTATGGTCACAAGCCATGGTCATCACCATCTTCAAAAAGGGAGACCCCAGCCTAGTTGAAAATTACAGACCAATCTCCTTATGCTGCGTCACCTGGAAAGTCATGGAATCAATTATTAACCAATCCATTATCCTCCACTTAGAGACAAACAACCTACTCTCCAATAAACAATTTGGTTTCAGGAAAAAACTATCCTGTAATCTGCAACTCTTACACTGCAAAAACATATGGACTACACAACTCGATCAGGGCAAAGCAATAGACGCAATCTACATAGACTTCTGTAAAGCCTTTGATTCAGTGACAAACTACTAAAACTAAAATCTTTTGGTATCTCTGGACACCTACATAACTGGATAGAAGCATTCCTGTCAAACAGACAACAAATGGTCAAAATTGGGAGTGTCCTATCAAATTCTGTACCTGTCAATAGTGGTGCCCCCCAAGGCAGTGTTCCGGGACCAACTCTCTTCATACTCTACATAAATGACCTCTGTGATCATATTAAGAGCAACTGCGTTCTTTTCACTGATGATGTAAAGCTGTTCAATACCACAGACAATACTGCTACCCTTCAAAAAGATCTTGACTATGTATCAGAATGGTCAAACAAATGGCAACTTCAAATCTCAACAAATAAATGCTCTGTCTTACATATTGGCAAAAAAAAATCATAAAATAAAATATAAGCTGAATAGTCAAGATCTTGTTGATGACCCAAGCTCTGTAAAGGACCTTGGAATACTCATCTTTAATGATCTAAGTGCTAGAGCCCACTGTAACTACATAGCCAAAAAGGCATTAAGAGTTGTTAACCTAATCCTACGTAGCTTTTTCTCTGGTAATATTACACTACTAACTAGAGCATACAAAACATTTGCTAGACTAATACTCGAATACAGCTCATCAGTCTGGAACCCACATTACGTATCTGATATTAGCACAGTTGCGAAAGTCCAGAAATATTTCACAAGAAGAATTCTCTACTCCACTACTCATTGTAGAATACCTTATGCCACCAGACTTGAAATTCTAGACCTAGAAAACCTTGAATTACGCCGTCTTCGGTCTGATCTAAGTATGGTATATAAAATCATACATTGCAATGTCCTACCTGTCAATGAATACTTCAGCTTCAACCATAACAACACAAGAGCACACAATAGATACAAACTCAAGGTTAACCACACCAAACTTGATTGCAGGAAATACGACCAGCAACAGAGTGGTCAATGTCTGGAATACTCTACCTGACTCTGTGGTTTCTTCCCCAAACCCCAAAAACTTTAACCTTAGACTGTCTACTATTGACCTCACCCCTTTCCTAAGAGGTCTGTAGGGGACTTGCATAAGCGCACCAACATGCCTACCGTCCCTGTCCTATTGTTTCTTTTATTTTATTTTCTTATATGTACCCATTTCATGTGTTCATAACTATGTATATACTTATACCTATTATCTTGTAAGCAATTGACAAATCAAATAAATAAATAAATGCCCATTGATCTGACCAAATTCTGCTCTGTGAATGTATAGGGTACTGAATAATCCATCGTTTTAAAAATCCTATTGCCATTACCTGTTCTTTCTTTAAGTATCAGAGTTCCAAAGAATAGAGAGTAAATAGCAAAACTTGCCATAGCACCATGTGATTGTTCATAAAGGAGGGGGAATGTGCCCCCTATTTTTATTGAGATGCTTTATTGAAATACATAAACTTAACGTACCGTTTTCCATCGAAAAACATACAAGCTCAAGGTCTAAAAGAATTTTTGCAAAGTAAATGTTTATTCCTCTGATGAGAGATTATAGCAGTAAATTTAAAAATAAATGAAGGATAGAAATTTCCTAATGAAAAGATTTACTACTATTATACTGCAATCATGATTAATATTTACTTCCTTTTCTTTCATAAGTACAATATAGAAATTGCAATTAGCCTAACTTTAAAATTCTTATTTCATGTTCATTCCATGTCAGCATGGAATCTCCTTAGATTTTAGATGTGTTCGATAGAGCAGGGGTGTCAAACTCAATTTCATTGAGCGCCACATCTTGGTTGTGGTTGACCTGGGGGGGGGGGGGCAGGGCAGGTATGGCTGACTGGGTGGGCATGGCTAGTTTGATGCCAATCTCCAAACTGCTGCATGTTTCCTCTTCGCATTGGATAGACTGGGCTGAAGCCAGGCTGGTCCAATCTTTCCACTTCTCATTGGGTAGACCAGGCCAAAGTTAGGCTGGCCTGATCTTTCCTCTTCTCATTGGGTAGACCAGGCCAAAGTTAGGCTGGCCTGATCTTTCCTCTTCTCATTGGGTAGACCAAGCCAAAGTTAGGCTGGCCTGATCTTTCCACTTCTCATTGGGTAGATCAGGCCAAAGTTAGGCTGGCCTGATCTTTCCTCTTCTCATTGGGTAGACCAGGCCAAAGTTAGGCTGGCCTGATCTTTCCTCTTCTCATTGGGTATGCCAGGACAGCCCCATCGGCTGGATCCAACCACATCACAGGTTGGATTCAGCCTGCAGGCCATGAGTTTGACACTCCTGTTAGAGGAATTGTTGCTTGGCAAACAAGTTCATGACGAGCAAAGAAATTAGTTGTCTGTATTACAGGAAATTGTATACAAGTTTGTGAGCAGTTAACTACTGCTTTGGAAATAAAAATACGTTAGAAAAATAACGAATGTCTATGAGAATTTTTATCCGTCTATTCTTTGACTTTGCACATATAAAACCTCTTCTATGCATGCACAGTCATGAAGAGATTAAGATAATAAACTATCTGGTGGTTTGCTCATTGGGTCTTACTTCTTAGTAAATCTAAAATGTGGTAGCCTGAATAATTTAATAATAGAGTTTGTTTTACTCTGTTAATATATAAAATAACATAAAATCATCCCTTGTTTCCCTTTCATATGCAGGATTCTTTGATGAAGCCTTGAAGGATTTCAGGAAGGTGTTAGAACTAAATCCTAAATTTGAAGATGCTTCTTTGAGTTTAAGACAGACTCTCCTTGACAAAGAAAACAAGTTAAGAAGAGGTTATTGAAGTCCAGTGTGTCGAAGAAACAGGTTGTGAGCCTGGAATATTTGGTAAAGACGTAAATTTCCTGAGTGTGGGGGGATAAGGGTGTTACTTCTCAGTTTTGAATAGATCATTTTTTCCGTGCAAAGTAATCCTTAAGATATCAAACATTTGGCATGACTATTTACAGCACTTTAATTACATGAAGATTTATTTTATTCTGTAAAATAATTTGGCCCTATGTATATTGGCAACGTATATAAAACAAATTTTCTTGATAACCAGCTATTTCCTCATTAGAACAATATTACACTGCATTAATAAGCAATATCAAAGATATGATTTAGTGCAGAACTTCTACATGTTAACATTGGTGATTCTCCATAATGCCTAGTAATATTGATTGGCTTAAAAGTATACAGTATATTATAACATGCAAAAACCTGTTGTTTTCTCTCTCTCTCTCTCTCTCTCTCTCACACACACACACACACACAAACAAACAAACAAACAAACACAAAATAGTTTCTCTTCAGTCCAGTTCAATTCCTGATGACTTCCTGAATATATCCTTGCAGATTTCTTGGCAACAATTCAAGAACTGTTTTCCATTCTTTGGTGATATCTCTGGACTTCTTAGCCTAGTCTACAGCTGTAAAATTCCCTGGAGATACTCCCACCTACATAGCTTCCAAATCTAAACAAGCTCAACCTGATACTAAAGCACACAAATAAAAAAATTAAACAATGCAAATGTATCTATTTACATGTGTAGACATATGTACTAAACATTTTATAAACTATCCATATTTAGTATTTATATTCAAAATTAAATTTGTATTAATTTTGTAGTTAGAAAAAAATACAAGGGAACCACAATTGACATGAACTACTTTTCATTAACAGATTTTCCCCCAAATTTGTTCTTTTAATCTTATAGACACTTTCCCACATTTTTAAATATTAGTCAAAGATGAACTTCAGTACATCAGAGTGAACTCTGTCAAAATATCAAAAATACAGGAACATGTAATCTTAAGGATTTCTGTTTGATAAGTGTGATTGTTATTCATTAGTGGGTTTTCAATAGAGTTTTAAAAGACTCTGAAGATGGACAATTTAGAGGATTTGGGGATGACATCTGGTCATTTATTATCTATTTTATAAATCTTAAATCTGTTGATATTCAAGTGTACTTATTTCAATTTATGATGCTGGTTTGTTGTGTTAGGAATGTAAGTCACCTAACAGTTGGGTTGGAAATATATAAACCAGGGTTTAGACATTTTAATACTGTCTCTTTAAGGGAATGCTAAAATTGTAATTGGGTGTGGTTCCTCAAATGGCCATAAGATGGAGCCAGAAACCTGGTTTCCCAGAGGGTGTTGCTAGTTGGTTGATGTTCGCTGTTTTTGGTTCCTGCATTTCCCTATTGACTGTTGCTGATCATCGTTATTCTTGGATTGATGTGAGTCTATTACTGAACTGTTTTTAATACTGGACTTTGTTATTGGATTATCCCTGGACTGAAAACTGACTGCTATAACCATGTATGACTTGGACTGCTTGTTGGACTTTGCTTAACCATTTACTGGAAGTAAAAACCTACATTTTATTATACAGTGTATCTGTCTGCTGGTTGTGTGTTATTCTTCACCACTCTCACTACGTCTCCCTGTGTGCGCTCATTCTCCTAACAGGGAATTACCTCAACAAGTTGTATTTTTTTTTGTCCTCAACAATTACAGTTAGGCCTCACTTCCGATAGTAACTGGGACTGGAATCTCCATTGCAATCACAATGTGTGATGTCCTATCATGCCAACTTATAATGGCAGTTCCAGCAGTCCAAGCTGCCATTGCTAGCAATTCCTGTGCAGTCAAAAGCATCCCTCAGTCATGAGATCACCATTAGAAATCTGATGGCTTTCCCATTAACTTTGCTTGTTGGAAGCCAGCAATGAAGTCCTAGTTCAACAACCACTCCTTCAGCAATCTTTTGAAGTTACAACAGTGCTGAATGAGAGGGACTTACAACATGCCCTTGTTAAGACCATTGCAGCATCCCCGCAATCATGAGATGGCAATTCAGGCATTTGCATTGCATCCCATAGTCACATGAAAACCGTTTGCGATCTTTTAACAAGCAAAGTCAATGGGAAAGCCAGCAGGTCACAAATGACATTTTTTTTGCTGCAACTGCTGTCAGAAATCAGTGTGGTCACATGACATTGTGACACCTAGTGACATTCTAGCCCTATTTGGGGCTAACCTATTTGGGCTCCTGTGCCAAAAATTGTGCTTGTGCTTGCACGCTTGCACTTGCGTGCCAGCACCCAGAAGGCAATGCGCCCCCCACCCCCTATACATGCACGCCCAATCCCCACCCACCTCCATCACCCCTTTACCTGCACTGCACCTCACAGCTGATTGTCGGTGGGTTTGAGGCCTTTTTCGGCCTCCCAAAGGCTTGAGGAAGGCTTCTGCAGGCCGAAAACTAGCCCTGTTTCGTCACTTCTGGTATTTTCGGAAAAACAGGAAGTGATGAAACAGGGCTACTTTTCGGCCTGCAGAAACCTTCCTCAAGCCTTTGGGAGGCAGAAAAAGGCTTCAAACCCACTGACAATCAGCTGTGAGGTGCACACATGTGCAGTGAGGTAGGTTTGCCTGCAGCTTGTGTGCTAGCATAAATGGCTGTGCGTGCCACCTGTGGCACGCATGCTATAGGTTTGCCATCACAGTTCTAGCCAGTCCCAGTTACCGTTGTTAAACGAGGACTGCTTCTACAAAGATATGTGAAAGCCAGGGCGACTGTTATTTTGTCCAATCCAGCAAAATGCTCTGTATCTGTTGCCCTGGGTCTGGAAAATACAGTATATCACAGAAGCGAGTACACCCCCTTACATTTTGTAAATATTTAAGTATATCTTTTCACGTGACAACACCGAAGAAATGACATTTGGCTACAATGTAAAGTAGCGAATATACAGCTTGTATATCAGTGTAAATGTGCTGTCCCCTCAAAATAACGCAGTACACAGCCATGTCTAATCTGCTGGCAACAAAAGTGAGTACACCCCTAAGTGATAATGTCCAAATGGGGCATAAGTAGCCGTTTTCCCTCCCTGGTGTCATGTGACTGGTTAGTGTTATAAGGTCTCAGGTGTGAAGGGGGAGCAGGTGTGTTAAATTTGATGTTATTGCTCTCTCTCTCTCTCTCATACTGGTCACTAAAAGTTCAACATGGCACCTCATGGCAATAAACTCTCTGAGGATCTGAAAAAATGAATTGTTTATCTAAATAAAGATTGCCTAGGGCTATAAGAAGATTGCCAAGACCCTTGAAACTGAGCTGCAGCATGATGGCCAAGACCATACACCAGGACAGGTTCCACTCAGAACAGGCCTTGCCATGGTCGACCAAAGAAGCTGAGTGCCCATGCTCAGCATCATATCCAGAGGTTGGCGTTGGGAAATAGACATGAGTGCTGCCAGCATTGCTGCAGAAATTAAAGGGTGGGGGTGGGGTCAGCCTGTCAGTGCTCAGACCATATGCCACACACTGCATCAAATTGGTCTGCAGGGCTGTCGTCCCAGAAGGAAGCCTCTTCTAAAGATGATGCACAAGAAAGGCCGCAAGCGGTTTGCTGCCGACAAGCAGACTTAGAACGTGGATTTCTGGAACCATGTCCTGTGGTCCAATGAGACCAGTGGTGGTATTTAAATAAAGTTGCCACCGGTTCGGTGGGCGTGGCTTGGTGGCCGCACTTTGCACACATGCACACACTTTGCATGCGCACGCGCGCCAAACACGTACTTTGTGCAGGCGCAGAGGCATTCTAACTTGCCTCCTGCAAGCCTCCACGATGGTGGTCACTGCAGCAGCTGCCGCGCGGCGCTATTCTGCGCCGCACAAAGCTGCGTTTTGAATTCTGGCCATAAAAGTGATTATGGGTGTCCAGGTGGGCGGACGGGCGGGCCAACACAGAGCAGCGAAGAGAACCTGTTCAGTCTCCACTGCTCATCGCCACTACCGGCTCTCCAGAACCGGTCGAATACCACCACTGTATGAGACCAAGATAAACTTATTTGGTTCAGATGGTGTCAAGCGTGTGTGTGGCAGCAACCAGGTGAGTAGTAGTAAAGTATATTTATCACAGAACCATAGGGTTGGAATGGATCTTGGAGGTTTCTAAACTATCTACCCATAGCAGAAATCATCGAACCATCTGGACAAATAACTATCCAGTCTTTTCTTGAAAACCTTGATACAACATTAATAATGTAACAGCAATTCCTTGTTTAATATCTTCTGAGAATAATTGTTCTTTAGCAACACTGCTTTAGCATTTGGTAGGTATTTAGTCTGTTTTAATTTGTTACCTTCTTATCTATCCTTAAAGTGCCACCATTATAGTTAATGTTACTGTAGTTTAATTAAACTGAAATTGGGGGAAGAAGAAAAAAGAAAAGTCAGTTCACTAAATTTTATAATTGTAATTCAGGTCTTGACTGAACTGTTAGGCCTTCTGCTGAATTATTTCAACAAAAGTGTAAAAGTAATTAACCTAAATGACTATAGTAAATACTATAACAGTCCCCCAAATTATTTTCTTAAAGATTTATTAAAGCATCATTTATAAACAAAGATGAAAATACATACAGATTTGAAGCAAGCAAACGACAAAAGTAGTGTCCTTTTCTGGCATTCATACCATATGACAAAAAGTGTCGAACTATTAATTCCAACTTCAGGCTTTAAAAATATTGTTTCAAGGCATAGGGATAACACAGTAAAAACTAGTGTAACACAAAAAGTTTCAGGTAAATACATATATGCAACAGTGCACCACATAGGAACTAATTTTCCCACACTAAAAAAAGAAAAAAAAATCTTGCCATTGATATGATTGTTCTTCAGAACTAATCTATATTTGCAAGACGCTTGATTTCTTAAATGTGTAATATCCAGAACTTGCTTAACTTAATAAAAGTATTTATTGAAGCAAAATGAAATTACAAATCCACAGAATTGGAGTTGTATGCAGAAGCTGAAATTACAAAATAAAGCCCCACAGCAAGAATTACTTAAGAGATTTAAGGAGATCAATAAAATTAAAGCTAGCAAGAGGGAGAAAAATCACTCCCTTTTGAACTGTGTTTAGTAAGGTTATATCAAATGCCTCTTCTCGTATGGTTGCTCCTAAAACCCTGAATATTTAAGCAATCTTACAATATAAAAAATGAAGCTATACAGTTTTTGCTAGAAACATGGCTGCTTCAGGCAGGAATGTAAGGAGGTGGCGGCTCCTTTTCTGGCATTTTCACTGCCATTTCATAGGATGGCAAAACATACTGTAAGAGAAAAAAGATTATTAGAGTTAGTTTATTGATTAACTGACTGACCATACTAAGATGCAATATACCATTAACTAAA